TACTTGAGTAGAGGCCCAATGTCCGTCTGCTACCTTAATACTTAACATATAAATATATGTACATAGATCTATTTCCCTATCATTATAAATATATTTACATATGTACACACCTGTATTTAGACTTCTATGAATGTCCTTTGCCTCCTAGTTCTTTCCTCTATTTCCTCTTGTCCCACTATCATGTTCAGCCTTCATTCGGGTTTCATTAATTCCTCTTAGCTACATTGCCCTTGATCAAGCCCCACCAGGCATCCTATGCCCTCCTCTCCATCAATTTTAGATCACTTCTTGTTCCCTTGTCCCTGGGTTTGTTGACAGCTCCCATCCTTTTCCCCATCTCCCTCTCCCGTGTTTGTCCACCCACCCCCAGCCAACCGTCAGTCCCGTTGTTTTCTCCTCCAGATTGTTTATCCCACCTATTTCATCTAGACATGCAGAGACAATAATAAGCATAAAACAAGACCGCAAAACAAAGCAACAAAAGAGAACAAAAAACTAAAACAAAACAACAAAAAGCCTAACGACTAAAAAGCAAAAGCCTATAGACAGTGGCTGCATCAATGGGCTCTGGTGTAGGAATGATTGTGAGGATGGCACAGGTCGGTGCAGCATTTTGTTCTGCTGTGCATGGGTCGCTAGGGGTCAGAGCCTACTGGATGACTCCTAACAACAGTAATATTCCCCTTTTCTGTTCGAACCACTGCCTCTTGATCCATGTACAGGTTACACATGAACACAGTGTCATGTTCTGGGATTTCTATTCTTCTCAATGCTCTCCATATAATTGAACATAGAATTGTTCTGATCCACACAATTCAGTGCATTTGTCTAGTCAATAAAACACAAGCTAATATTTTTCTGCTATTCTGTGTTTTAAGCCCTAATTCTTGTGATGTCAGCAATGATTATCCATTGTTCTATGTCCTCTTTTGAATCCTGCTTGAATTTCTGGAAGTTCCCTGTGGATGCACTGCTGCAACTGTTGTTGAATGATCTTCAGCAAAATTTGACTTCTATGTTATACTAGTGATATTCTTTAATAATTTTTACATCTGGTTGAGTCTCCTTTCTTTAGAATGGGTAAAAATATGGATCTCTTTCAGTTGCTTGATTAGGTAGCTGTCTTCCAAATTTCTTGGAAGAGGTAAGTGCTTCCAGTACATCATCAGCTTGCTCAAATAATTCAATTGGTATTCTGTTAATTCTTGGAGAATACCAATAGATATTTCAAGATAGATATTGAAATGTCCTTTTTGATGATTCATGTGACAGCATTCCTCTTGAATCTGACATTCCTGGCAGAGTAAACCATATTATTGTCTGACTAAAAATGGCCACTGTCCGTCATTCCAGTTCACTAATTCCTAGGAGGTTGATCTCTATGCATTCTCCTTCATTTTTGATGACTTCCAATTTTCCTAGATTCATAGTTTACACATTCCAAGTTCCAATTATTAATAGGTGTTTGAAACTATTTCTTCTCATGTTCCAGCAGCAAATAAAGGTCCCAAAGCCTTACTCCATCCATGCCATTGTAGTTGACTGGTTTGTGAAGGCTTTCTCAGTCATATTTTGAGTGCCTTCTGACCACAGGGACTCATTTTCCGGCATGGTATATGACAATGTTCCATGGCTGTTCATGACGTTTTCAGTATCTGACAAAGTTCCGCTGTTACTCATAAGGTTTTCAGTGGCTATTTCCTCAGAAGTAGACAGCCTAGTCCTTTTTGTAGCCTGTTCTTAGTCTGGAAGCTCTGCTGAAACTTGCTCACCTTGGATGACTCTGCTGATATTTGAAATGCCAGCGACAGAGCTTCCAGAATCACAGCAATATGCAAGCCACCACAGTACAACAAACTGATAAAGTATGAACCTAGCAACATTAAAATGAAATCCAGAAATATGGCTATGAGGTATTAATGAACAGGAATGTAATTATATTGGACTTTGTGAATCAGATAATCATATGATTTACTACACTAGGAATAAGAAACCCAAGAAGAATGGTGTCAGATGTATTATATAAAAGAAAATACCAAGATCTGTTTTGAAGTATAATGCTTCTGTAATAGGATAACAGCCATATGACAAGAAAGACCAGTTATTAAGACTTTTAGTCATTTTCACTCATCAACCACAAAACCAATGATAAGGAGACTGAATAATTCTACTAACTTCTTCAGTTTGAAATTTGTCACACATGAAATCAAGATTTATTGGTGGTTAGAATGTGAAAGTTGAAAACAAAGAGGAGGGTTCATTAGCTAGACAATACGGCCTTAGTGATAGAAACAACGCTAACGATCATGACAGATTATTGCAAGACCAAGGACATTCATTGCAAACACTTTTTCCAACAGTGTAAGATATGACAAAATAATAATTTATAAATTAGCAAGGGTTCATGAGGGAGGGGGAAGCAGGGAGGAAGGGGGAAAATGAGCTGATACCAAAGGCTCAAGTAGAAATCAAATGTTTTGAGAATGATGAGGGAAA